TCAATAAATCAAGAAATGTACATGTAAATAACTTTCTCAAGCTCCACGTGTGAAGTATTTTGATTTCTTTGCAAAAACTTTTTTTTCCCGAAATTTGAGTTCCCAAACTTGGGGTGCGGCTTATCTGCAAGTGCGGCTTATCCACCAGTGTTTACAGTATATTACTCTTGATTAATCAAGTTAATACTGCTTTGTAGCATTCTTATTGTAACAGTTATGCCATTTTTCAGGGGGGGTTTTCATGACCTGCAAAAATCTTCACTCAAAATCATTATTCCACTCACACATTTTTTTTCAGCAAAATTTTCACGACTCAAAATTACAATGTTTTTTTTTTTACATTTGAATTAAAATATATCTTTCATTTAGTGGCAAGAAAGATGTCCAACCTTGAAATTCTTTCTCATAAGTGTTAATTTACAAATTGTCTTCTCTTTTCCACTGCGGCCTTTTTCACCTGGGGTAACCTTGAAATTGCGCTGAATTTCTCTTTTGCAATCCATTTTTAATTACAATGATGAACTAGAAACTGGGCTTTAATCCATTTAAATGATTAACTAATTGACTGGCTAATTGAGAGGTTGATTGGCTGGTTGATGGACTGGCAGAAAGACAGATTAGCACTTTTTTAAGTACACTTGTGAAGTGCATCAACTTGTTGTTTTCTATGTGCTTCTCTTGTGTTCTTTGAAGTTCCCATGACATGCTTACTTGTATATATGTATAACTCAACAATGCACTTAGGTATGTTACAGTGCATTTATTGAAACCGGGGCCACCCAGACAGTGAAAACCAATCAGATGGCAGAACTGAAACAATAGATTCCAACATTTTCAAATCCAGCCAATCAAATGTCCTACAGTCAAACCTCCAATAAGCGACCACCCAAAATGTCAAGCCTAGACGGTCGCTTATGGAAGGTGGTCGCTTACGAGAGCTTGGACCATATTGGGTCAAAAGTTTTCCTCATAGGCATATGGTAACTGCCAAGACTTACCCCATGCGCCAACGCCGATGCCATGTTTTATTCGTATGAAAACTCAATTTCGAGAAAAAAGTTCGGTTTTTCTCACTGAGAAATTTCAATTTTTGTACTAGCAAGGAATACGATAATGTTACAAGACCTAATTATCTAATTTCCACTCTATTACATGTATCTGTCAAGTGGTCGCTAACGGGAGGTTAAAAACACAGAAAATTTCAAACTTTTAGCTCTCAAAGTGGTCGCGGTCGCTTACAAGAGGTGGTCGCTTACAAGAGTTTCGAATTATAATGAGTTGACTTGAAAACTTTTGGTATTTTGAAAAACTGACCGCTGAGGAAAGGTGGTCGCTTATGAGAGGTGGTCGCAACCAGAGGTTCAACTGTATTTTCAAATCCAGCCAATCAAATGTCTGGTACAAAACAATGAAATCTCAACTTGTTCCTTGTGATGTTTACACGTATGCAATTAATAAATTGTTAAGCTCAAACCGTTAGTAGTTTCACGTGCTTGCAGATTTACACGTAAGGAGAATTATACGCTGCCCAGCTTCCTATGGGTTGTTTGGTTTAGAAAATACATGGAAAGAAAAGCTGCTTAAGCGTGTCACTCATAAATATATATCGCCACCAGAGTGTTTGGTGTAGGGTTTGAATATTGTCGCTGCTGTTTAAAAGAAACCCTTCAAATGGCCTCTGAGTAGTTTCGCATGTGTACAGGTTCGAAAATATGTACAAATTGGAAAGGGATTATTTTCGATGTAACTGGAAGGAGCTGAAAGCAAACTTCAAGCAGTAGAAATGAAAAGTTGACTTGATACAAAAATGGACTTGTAACCTGAATTCTTTGTTCACAATATCTTCGATTTTTCCATCCAGGGGAGGTTTAGTGCTATTGTCTTTTGCTTTTGCCCGAGTGATTTTACTCGCTGAGGCTTTGATACTACGCTGCCGAAAAAAAAAATTCGTTTGAATTTTCCATGAAGATATTATTTCAATACACTGATAACCCAGAAAGG